AGCTTAATCCAAACAAAACTTTTTAACCGAGCCTAAAATAGTTAAAAAGTCAAAAAATCAACCCATTTTCCAAGCGAAGCCTATAACTTATTAACAAATTTTGAGTTTATACTGCCTCCGTTTGGGAAGTGGGTTGGCTTTTTGGCTTTTTGGGTTATTTTAGCCTGGGCTTAAAAGCTTGGTTTGGGAAGGGCTTTTTGGCTTTTTGACTTTTTTGAGTTTTTTTGTGAAAGAAGAATGTAATAATTATGGGTTGGATGTGATGTTTTGTTTGTTATGGCTAAAATAGCTTATTTTGTTTTTTGTGGCTAAAATAGCCAAAAAAACCTGCAAATCCACTTGCCAAACACAGGCACTATATTATTTGGTGTAGTTTTTGGGCTCTTTTGGGAAGATGTTTAAGCCAAATTTTAGTTTTTAATCTATTTTGGCTCCGTTTAGGAAGAAAAAAGCCAGGCTTTTTTGACTAAAATAGCCACAACAAATAAAATAGGCTATTTTAGCCACAAAAAAATAAAGTATCAAATCCAACCCATAATCATTACAATCCTCTCTCACAAAAAAAGTCAAAAAAATCAAAAAGCCAAAAAGCTCTTCCCAAACCAGGCTAAAATAGCCCAGGCTAAAATAACCAAAAAGTCAAAAAACTAATCCACTTCCCAAACGGAGGATTTAGATCATATCACCTCTATTTTTTTCCACTATTTTTTTTTAAAAGTTAAAAAGCTAGTTTTTAATTAACTTCTCGAAACAACCCTCTGTTTACTACTTACTAGGTATAAACAGTTTGAATAAGATAAAAGAAAATAATTATTGAAAGTTGAGAGATGTATGTTTTTAGCTTATGTTGTCTGATTATCAACTTTTAACGTATAATAAGTTGCATCAAATAGACCCAATATCCATTTATTTGGTATAACATGTGAGGAAAAAAATTAATATAATTTCTCATTTGAGTGAGAAAATAAAAGATAAGATTGAATTTTTTTTTTGTCATCATATTACAATAAAAAAAATGCAAAATATATAATATGAAATCAATACGAGAAATACCTCCAGTCATATATTTTGCCTTTTTCTCATTTTTTACTTATTGAGTTCATATAATTTCTGATAACAAGCAAAATATAAATTTATCAAGTATTATGAAGATTTTATAATCAATCAATTTATTTTTTTTATTAAATCTCACTACTTTATTTGTAAAAATAAAAATAAACAAAATAAGAGAATTATCTTTCTTACAATTACTTTTTAAATTTATAAACTAAATATGAGAAAGAGTTTTATTTCTATTCATTTCTTATAATTTCTTACTAAATCATCTCATCCAAATAAACTATTAATCTCCTAATGACATGTAAGGTTTTTATGTTTTATCCTTGGTGATGTACCATATATATGCCGGACTTTCCACGCACGCAGGCCGTTTAGGCGACAAATAATTACAAACGGAAAAAAGTAAGAAATGATAAATAAGTTTGAGTAAGGTTGGTCAAGTATTTGAAGATTTTGAACTCAATTCGAATTAACTCGATTACATAAATAAGCCACTCTTTGAATGTTAATAGAAAAAAAATATAGTTATGAATAAAATATAAGATACTATTCATATTATTAATATATTTTATTAATGGAATATATTAATTTGCAAAACACTAAATATAAATAGAAAAATAGAATACATTTATACAATATATTCAATACATATAGCATTATAATATAATTAGATAATAATTTATATATAATTATCTTTATTAATTTATTCCACCTAAGTTTGAGTCTGTTGAACACTCTACTCGATTAGAAAACAAGTTTAAAAATTTTGCTCGAACTTATTTTTTTAACAAATGAGCTCAGTTTAAATGAGTTTGAAACGGGTGAAATACAAAATTAAACTCAACAATCTTTTAGCATACTAAACACAAATCAAACTTGAAAATTAAAGCACGATCTTTTCATCTGTTCAAAGCATTTTGATTACTCAAAAAAAAAAAAAATGAAAAAAGAAAAAATAGGAGCCCAGAAAGTGAGCTCATAATTTTGCCTAAAATAATGATGTGTGGGCTAGATTCATTTAGTGTATGTAAGGTTTATGGTTTAGGTGAATCTAAATCACACAATAAATTTTTTAGGTATAATTTATGGGATTGTAGAGCTGTTGACAACTTGAAAGTAGCGTAGAAGGTGATAGGAAAATTAGAAAGGACAAGAGCGGGAATGATGAACAACCACAATGGGCAAACCATGTAATAAAGTAGTGCTTCTCTTCAATTTATATTTGTGGATTGAGCTGTTGAGTTGAGTCCGTGGACTTATCACGGGTCTGATTTTAATAATTTAATTTATTTATTTTGTAAATTTATAAATTATTTATAAAAAAAATCTAATTATATTTGTTTTTAAAAATAGATTATTTATTTTCAAAATTATTTTTATTTTCTATTTTTTCTGCAAAAAAACACGACTATAATTGATAAATCAATATGATTTTAATCATAAATAATCTATAGATATAGGGCTCACAAAATAAATAAATTAATTTATCAAAGTTTGGCCTGAGACTTATAGACTCAATTGGACAATCCAAACTATAATTGAAATCGAAAATGACTGGTAGCTCGAAAAAAGTGGCTCGATTTTGGCTCGAATTCGAATTCAAAGACAGAGACAGAGGAGAAAGAGAGAGAGAAGAGAGGAAGAAGAGAGGAGAAGAGAAAGAGGAGGAAAGAGGGAGAAAGAGAGAGGAGGAGAGGAGATCGTCGCAACACCACCGTCGTTGCCTTGCCGCCGCCGATTGTCGCAGCACTACCGCCGTCGCCTCCGGCCCCGCCTCCGCCTCCTCCTACCCCTGTGATTATGCCCCCTCCAGTCCTCCTTCTTCCTCCTCCTCCTTCCTTCTCTTCTCCTTCTCTTCTTCTCCACCCTTCTTCTTCTTCTTCCTTTTGCAACAAAAACACAGGAAAAAAAAGAAAAAAAAGAAAAAAGACACCAAAACGACGTCGTTTTGGTGTCGAGCCAAACTCTTTCGAGCTACGTAGCGGGGTCGAATTGAAATTTTGAGAGAAACCCTGGTTTAAAAAAAAAATACTCCATCTTTCTTAAAATATTAGGTAGCGTTTGGTTTAGTTTTGGAATTGTGATTCTCTTTTTGGAGTTGTGATTTGAGTGTGGAATTGTGAGTTAAGTTTTGAAAAGAGAAAATTTGTTTGATTATGAATTTTGAAAAGAGTTTTGAAAAGTGTATTGAAAGGAGTTTTTGAATTTTGAAAAGAGTTTTGAGTTATATTTTAAATTTTTTGGATTTATTTTTTTTAAATATTAAAAAATGTTTAAGAAAATTTTTATTTATTTAATTATATAAATTTTATTTAAATATTTTTAAATTTTAAACATTTTATTTTATTTTGTAAATATTTTAATTTTTAATTTTAATATTTTAAACTTACTTAATTTAAAAATTATTTTCAAAACTCATAATCAAACATATAACTCGAAACTCCACACTACTTTCAAAACTCTACACTCAAATCATAACCAAACACATAACCAAATAAAATTAAACTATTTAAAAATATATTTATAAAATAAAATAAAATAAACTATTTAAAACAAAAAATAAAAAAATAATTTTTTTAATATTTAAAAAAAAATACAACACATAAATGTATGAAATATAGTGCACATTAAAATAAATAAATAAATATTTAAAATGTAAAATATTTACCCTAAAAAAATAAAATTAAGAAAATTTTTAAATATTTAAAAAAAATAAATCCAAAATTTTTCAAGGTACAACTCAAAACTCTTTTCAAAACTTATAACGAAACAAATTTTTTCTTTTGAAAACTCAATTCAAAACTCACAACTCAAAATACGATTTACATTTAAATCATGATTCTAAAAATAATTTTATAAAACAAAATAAAATATTTTTTTGAATTTTTTCTTTTAAAATAGAGTTTTAAAAAGAGTTTGATTTTGAGTTTTCAAAAAAATTTTGAATTAAATTTTGAGTTGTGTGTTTGATTATGAGTTTTAAAATTAATTTTTAAATTGAGTTTTGAGGAATTTTGAGTTGTGTACTTAGTTATGAATTTTGAAAAGTAATTTGAAAATTTTGCCTTTAGAATCATAATTCCAAAGACAAACCAAACATAACCTTAATTTCTTTTGAAAAATTTAATTTTTTTTAATAATACAATTATTACACTTTAAAATTATTAAAAAAGAAACTAATATTAATACTTAAAAAAAGTTTTGAAACGAAAGGAGTATTAAAAATATAAAATATATAAATTAAATTAATTAAAAGTACGATTCAAATCACATAACATTTAAGGGTCGTTTGGGATGTGGGTTGATTTTTTAAATATTTTTGCCTAGGGTTAAAAAGTCTTATTTGGGATAAATTTTTTGACTTTTGTAAGAGAAAATAAAATAATTATGATTTGAATGTAACATTTTGTTTTATTAGATTAAAAGATTTATTCTGCCTTTTTGTAACTATTTTAACAAAAAAAATACTCATTTAACTAATGCCAAACAAGGACTAAATTTAAAATTTGAATATTTTATCAAAATACATGAAATCTCAAATCACGTAATATTAGTCAAAAGCTAACTCTTATAAAAGAAGTAAAGTAAAGGTGGATAGGAAAATTAAAATCACATAAAACAAAGTTTGGCGGTTTCGTGGGTAATATCACATTCACTCAAAGTTGGTTTTTGGTGGTGGGCCGGACTACTACTCCCCCCCAAAAAAGTCTAACACAGGATTATTTATTAATTCAAATTTCCCAGCCATTTTTATTTGAAAAAAAAAAAAACACAATTCAAATTCAAAACTAAGAAAAGTAAAAAAATCTAAGAATACATAATTAATTTTGGTCCGACATGTCATGGCAATGGCCTGGCTGTTTCTTCTCTAACCCATGACCCATAAAAGTCAGGTCGTCCTTCAACAATGTCTGTCTTTGTAATTTCAGAAATAGGAAAATATATTAAGAAGTGCCGTTACAGATCGATGAATTTACAGTAACGTATACACACCAACAAGAGGAGAGAGAGTAAGTGAAATAATAAATAGAGAGAGATTATTGAGAGATAAAAAGAAGAAGGAGAAACAGGCACTTTTTAGACAGTACTTGGACAGAAGAACGCTTAAAGCCTCCCTCTCATTCAATGCTTTACCGAACTCACCATCCCTTTTTCTTCCCATTCAACCCTTTTACCACCTCTTCTATACCCTCTCCTCCTCCTTCTGCTTCAACCACCACCACCATCTCTCCTCCTATTCAGGTAATTTCTCTGTAATTTGTTTTGTTTTTTTTTTTTTTTTAAGATTGTTAGTTGGATAGCATGTGTAATGGGTTCTTCTGGGTTTTTGTGGTTTTAGGTTGAACAAGGGATGGAGCATGTTGAAGGGGCGTTGAAAGGATGTTTTAGGCCGGACATGGCGGCGAAAAGGACCCAACATCATGCGATTTTGGACGACTTGTGTGCGGTTAATGGTCAAAGCGGCGTCTCAGGGGACGATTTTTTGGTGGAGGACTTCCTTGACTTCTCTAAAGGAGGTATCGAAGATGGGTTTTTCCAAGCAGAAGACGAACCAGACCATGAAGAAGAAACCAAACCCTGTTCTCTCTCTGTTGACAAAGAGCAACAAGCAATAAACAAAGAGAAGGACTCTGATCTTTGCAGAAGCAGTTTCTCCGCCATTGACGATTTTGGGTCCGTTCCTTGTAGCGAACTCAGCGTTCCTGTAAATCCCCCTTCTCCCTCCCTCTCTCTCTCTCTCTCCTCCCTCTCTCTCTCTAAATACTGTTTTTATTGAAGGGTTTTGTGTTGGGTGTGACTGAGATTACAGGCGGATGATTTGGAGGGCCTGGAATGGCTGTCTCATTTTGTGGATGATTCCTTCTCGGAGTATTCCCTCGCCGAAAAATTGCCGGAGAACCATGAGGAAAACCGGTCCGAACCGCCGGAAATTCCGGTGCCAACCAAGGCCTTCTTCACCACTCCGGTTCAGACGAAGGCGAGAAGCAAGCGGGCGAGAACCGGCGGCCGAGTTTGGTCACTGGGGTCTCGTTCCCTGACCGAGTCATCGTCTTCCAATTCCTCTTCCTCTTCTACCTCTTCGACCTCGCCTCTCAACAACGCTTGGCTCATCTACACCAGCCCGGTTCAAACCGCCGAGTCACTCCTCGGCCAACTACCGCCGCCGGCCAAGAGGCAGAAGAGAAAACAGGAAACCGGCGGCGGGTCCCAGCAGCCGCGGCGGTGCAGCCATTGCCTCGTCCAGAAAACCCCCCAGTGGCGAGCCGGTCCACTCGGTGCCAAAACACTCTGCAACGCCTGCGGGGTCCGATACAAATCGGGTCGGCTGTTACCCGAGTACCGCCCCGCTTGCAGCCCGACGTTCTCAAGCGAGGTCCACTCCAACAACCACCGGAAAGTGTTGGAAATGCGGCGGAAGAAGGAGGTGGAAGACGGAGGAGGGTTCGCTCCGCCGGTCCAAAGTTTTTGAAGACGGGTTTAGTTAGGAAATAGATTAGGAAGAGAACCGGAAGAGGTTGAACCCGGTTGGAATTGAGTCGGTTTAGTTGCGGTTGTATATTCGTGGTTGGTGCGCGTTAGGTTTGTAGTCATGTAACTGATTAGCGGAGAGAGTGTAGACTTTTAATGTAACTTACCTATTTTTATAAAAAATTTATTTATTAATGCTTAATATCATTTGCATTTCCGTAACGGGACAGATTTATATGACTCCGTTTGGGAAGAAAATTTGTGGTTACAATAGTTATAAAAGATAAAATAAATTATTTTAATCACAATAAAAAAAATATCATATTCAATCTATAATTACTACTCTTTTTTCATAAAAAAGTCAAAAAAATTAAAAAATCAAAATTTTTTTTTCTAAATCAAATTTTTTAACCCAAATTAAAAAAGTCAAAAAATCAACTCACTTTCCAAACCAATCCTTGAGAACAGATTTCTTAAATTTTACTTTCCTCAATAAAGTAACATAAAATCCTGTTTAGATTATACTGATCCAGTTGCACAATGTATTAAGGTGGAGATTGGATTAATAGTTACGTGATTAATAATTCATTATTTGGTTTAAAATTATTGTTTCGGATCATTAGTCTTAAATATGTTAAGGGTAGATTTGGAAAGTGGATTGATTTTTTGACTTTTTAATTTTTTTAGCTATTTTAGCCTAGGCTAAAAAGTTTGGTTTTGGAAGGATTTTTTGACTTTTTAACTTTTTTAATTTTTTTTGTGAGAGAAGAGTGTAATGATTATGAGTTGGATGTGATGTTTTGTTTGTTATGACTAAAATAGCCTATTTTGTTTTTTATGACTATTTTAGCCACAAATTTTCTTTCCAAACAGACCTAAGACTATTGTGTCTCGTGAGGGGGTGTGACACAAATGGGAGAAAAGGAAATATGAGATTAAGGGATAAAATGATTATTTTGACACTCTACTATTTAATTATGTATTATATTTAATATAATTTAAATGTTTCAATATAAAAATAAAATAATTTTAGTTAATTTTTATTAATGTTTTATTTATTTAATTTTTTAAAATAATTTTTTATAGATATTTTATTGATGTTTTATTTTAAAATTTTGTTTATATTTTATTTAATTTCATTATTTAATTATTATTATTTTTAAAATAAATTTATTTAAAATTTTAATTAAAAAATAACATATATTTTTATTGATATTTAATTTATTTAATTTTTTAAAAATAAATTTATTTAATTGTAAAAAAAATAAAATAAAATAAATTTTTATTAATCTAGCTAAAAATAATTAAAATATTAAATATATGTTTAATATTGCTATTACTTAGTAAATAACTGAAAATGATAAAATAGTTATTTGAGTATTTATCTTTCTTCATAATATTCTAAACAAGTATAAGATTTAATAAAATAGTCTAATCCAGACATCTAATCCCATGACTAAACAAACATAGGATGCAAATCCAGTCCAACCAAATAGTCTGAGAACAATGTATCTCAGTCCGGTGGATTCCAATCTCCCCTTATCCAGTCTATCCAAACAAACACACCCTAATAGAATTTAATGATGTCTTCGTTTAAGAAGAAAAATATATTCCATCCATCTTAAAATATTTTGTTTAATTTTTTTAGTAATATAATTATTATATTTTAAAAATATTAATTTTTCAAAATTATTCTCTGACTTTTTTTGGAAATATAATTGTCATAATTAGATTTTAGCATTGCTACATTCATCAAATTTGTATAGTCCAAACGAGTTTCTTCTCAGGAAGAGACTTCTGCATGGGAGTCTCATTTGGACAAATTTGGACTAAACAAATTTGATAAAAAAATCATTAATCATTATATTTTTCTTATATGAATTCAAAAGAAAGTTAAAATAAAAAAATCAATTTATTTTTGTCCTTAATTTTTAAAAAAGATTAATATTTTGGAATGGTGGGAGTAATTCATTGGTAGATTTCCCATTACATATTTCATGGGGTTTAGAGATAGACATATTTTGATTTTTTTTAAAAATTTTACAAGAGAAAAAGTAAAATAGTTATAATTTAGATATAATATTTTTGTCTTATTAATTTTTTTAACTATTTTATCTTTTAATTGACTAAATTAATACCAATTATCTTGTCAAATGGGGGCTAAGCATATTTGATTAATAGAACATATGGTTTTTTAACATTAGAAGAATATACGATTTTTTTTTCCAACAATGATAGAGACCACTAATTTTAGAATTCTAAAAAGATCACTAATGACATGGCACTCAATAAAAAAAAATACAACACCAAAATTAAAACATCAAATTATTTATAGTAGGACCTACTATCACATCATTAGTGGGAGCACTAATTAGTGCTCTACTCATTTTCCTTTTTTTCTTTTTTTTTTCAATAAGTTGTTCATTTGTCCCTTAAATTAGCACACAACCCAAAAAAAAAAAAAACAAAAAAATAGCGCACAGCTTAGCCCCGTTTGGCAGGTTGGTTTTAGGGTTTAAAAAAAAAGAGGGGCAAATTACATATACACCCCTCGAGGTTTGACTAAATTACAGATACCCCTGAGGTTTCGAAAATTACATCCCGCCCCCTGAGGTTTGTATTTTCATAACAATTTGCCCCCTGAGGTTTATATTTCATAACAAATTACCCCCTAATTTCTTATGCAAATATAGCATTCAAGGGGGAATTCGTAATTTCTCAAACCTCAAGGGGCATCTGTAATTTAGCCAAACCTCGAGGGGTGTATATGTAATTTGCCCTTAAAAGAGTTATTAAAAAATAAAATAAGTTAAAAAATAATAAAATAAAATGTCACATTTAAATCATAATTGATTTTATTTTATTCATACAAAAGTAAAAAAATTCAACTTAAATAAAACTTTTTAATTCCAAACTAAAAAATCAAAAAAATAACTCAGATCTCAAATGAATCCTTAGTGGTGTTTTGAAAAATTGGTAAAAAGTTGACTTTTTGACTTTTTTTACAAAAAATTAGATTATTTTAGATAAAAAAATTAATTTTTTTAAACCAAAAAAATTAAAAAGTCAAAAAACTAACTTTTTACCAATCTTCCAATATCTCATGGGATAAAAAAATTAAAAAGTCAAAAAACTGACTTTTTACCAATCTTCCAATATCTCATGGGATAGAGTTGGCCGTTGGGCTGCCACGCAAAAAATTAATTTATTTAGCTTATTTTTAATTTTTTTTTATTTTCCCAATGTTTTTAATATAATATAAGTAGATTTTTTTTTTTTTTTTTTTTTGGAGAGAAACAAGATTATTAAATAAATTATATATATATATATATATATAAACCAATAAAATAGTTTTTAAATCATGGCTAAAATGAAGTTTAAAGTTGCGTTTGAACCATGAAATTTGTTATAGATTGGCAATGCGAAAGGAAAATGCAAGAAAAATAGAGAAAAAAATTTCAATTCACCGCCAATTTAGAAAAAAATTACATATCAATAGTAAATTTTTTAAACATTAATAATTAAAATTTTAAAATTTTTAAAATAATTTTTCAAAAGACACTGAATTATAGTTTCCTTAGAATTTAACTTACATTTTATTTACATGTCTTTTATGTTTTTTCTTTTCTACCTTTTCAAATCCCATTCAAATTTTTGATTCAACAATGCTAGGTAGTTCAAAATTTTGTGATACAAATGGCTCAAATCACTCAAAACGACGTCGTTTTGACAGATTTTGAGTGTAAAATGACGTCGTTTTGATGAGCTATTTGAGCTACAAAAATTTGAGTTATCAAACATTTTCCTTTTTGATCCCAACATGGCAACAGTTTAATCGTCAATATGTTTACCTAGCGTTGTGGTCAAGCCCCGTTTAGAAATTGATTGTTTTAATTAATTTTTTGATTTTTTAAAAAAGAAATACAAAAAAACAGAAGGAATAATGTAACAATTTATAATAATTTTGAGGTAATACTAGAGACCTACATATTTAATTCCCAAATGGAAAATGTTATACAAATAAAAAAAAATTTACAAACTTTTCTTACAAATTGAAGTGGCATGGATTGATACAACTTTAGAATGTGAAATGAGGCCTAACTTACTAATATTCTAGGTGACACATCAGTTTGTAAGGAATGTTTGTTTATATAGCACTACTCTTTCCAAATTCATTAACAATAATGTGGTAAAGGATTAGTGGTCTGAATAACAAATCAAAAATTGACACCTATCCTGATATATCATTGTGAGAAGAATTATGAAATTTTTTAAAAATCTAAACTATTTTCTAATAATTTTTTTTTTATTTTTTTAGCTAATTAACCACCCTGTGAGTTTGAAACGGTTCAAGATTCTGAACCCCCCCTACCGGGTTATGCATCAGACCCCAACATCCCGAGCAGCACTTTTGTGAGAGAGAGGGAGGAGAGAGAAGAAAAAAAAAAAAAAAATATATATATATATATATATATAATGTGTGATTAAAATTTAGGGCACTCGGCTCATAAATTTAATTAAAAAAACTTTTGTGGCAATAGCTTGAAGTTTGTTTTTTTGGGGCCAAAAGAACAAAATAATTTGAAAAGACCATATTATTCTTACTTCTATGTCTATCACATTCCTTATCTATGTCCACGTTCTATTCCCTATTTGTCTATGTGTTATCAATTTGTCCACTTAATTTGTTTATTTGTCCATATCACTATCACCACCAGTCGTCGCCTACGGCCATCATCACCGCCAACCTTTTAGTCGACAGCAGTGGTCCAGCTATTGGTTTTCGACAATTCAACAATGATGTAACGGCAATGTATAAAAATAGAAAAAAAAAAATTTCCTTCAAAATAATAATTTTCCTTTTTGTTGTTTTTTTTTTGCGAAATAGTTTCATTAACCATGCCCTTATCTCCATAAAAGATCAATCATTGGACCAAATATCATATCCCCCATAGAAATGAACTTATCACCATTATTTCTAAATTTATCTTGAGTTTTATATAGATTATACATAAAAGAAATTTAAATCACACAATTACATCCTTTTTTTGATATTTGTAATTATGTGCATGTGACCCTATTGCTCTTAATTAAGCATGGCTTTGGTATTATTTGGATTAAAAAAATTTATAAAAAAGTTATATTAAAATAAAAGTAAACAACATACAAAATAAGAGCTCTTTTCTTTTCAAATGTTTTTGG